TTTATTATTTTAAAATATTATTGTAATTTGATTATCTATTAATGAACTGTTTATAAATTCATAAATGCATTAAACATATATCATTATAACTAAGTAGTAATGAATGTCTTGAATAAAATCATTTAATTTCATCAATTTTATAATTCATAACATTAATAATAACTACATTCTCTTTTTTTGCTTTCTTCGATTCCTCCAAATTTATTCCAATTTTTGATTAATTGTTTAAATTAAAATAATCGTAACATTTTGGGGTGCAATATTTTATAAACAAATTTGTACGATAATTTCGACATCAATTAAATCAGCACCTTAATCATTTTACTAAGATTTAATTTTATCATTTAACACTTTTTAAAAAGTACTCTATCTTTAAATATAATAACTGCTTGAGATGTTTCATAATTAAAATATACCTTATGATTTATATAATTATGTATATAATTAGATTAATAGATGATAAAATAAATTGATCAGTTAAACATGAAAAAGTAATAAATAAAAAATTATGATTTCATCAACATAATATCTCACTATGATTTTAACTTGTTATGATCAAAGACATTTATAAATTTTCGATGAAACGAATGAACGAGCAATTTTTGAAATTACAAAAGAGAAAAAAAAAAACAATTATTTATTACTTTGAACTTTTCTGGAGGACGAAATTAAATTCGCGATGGAAACTAATTTTTTTCTTGACCGCTGAACATGATTAAAAAATCAAAAAAAAAAAAAAAAAAGAAATCGATAGATACATTTAACGCAATATTTACGATTATACTAAAGTATTAGTATTCACAACCATTATAATAAATACCAGCTATTAGAAATTCTAACTTAGCTTTATTTAATTTTAATTCCGTTTGATTTACGAAAAAAAAAAAATCTAAATTTCTAATGGCTGATGAAAAATAAAACAAAAAAGAAAAGAAAACCTTTATTGAAGTAATGCAGTTCCATACATTATTACTGTCATTGTTTTAATGTATAACAATTTCATGAAAAGTTGGTTATTGCTAATATGCATTATATTTTTTTTTTCTTTATTTTATATTTAATTTAATTTTATTTTATATTTTTAAGGATATAAAATGAAACATTTTTCAATTTATTATTGAGCCATGTATTACAAATATTTACTAAATATTAAAATATTGTTTATTTATTTCATAGAATTAAAAACAAAAACAAAAAAGCATTAAATTTTCAATAAATGTTGAATAAGTAAAGCAACACCAGAAACAGTAATACTATTGCCAAGTGCATGATACATTTGTTTCGATGAAATTTCATATGGTTTTGCAAAAGTTTTAGGAAAACCTAGCAAATTAGCTATTTCACGCCAGGAAAAATAGCGAATTTGACAGTACTTCAAATTTTTACAATTATCATAGAGTACAAAATCTCTTAACTGTTCGATGCTTATACATTGATCCTGAAATAACGATGATAACAATAAACAAAATGATAAACTATAATTTTGTTGCAGTAATTAAATTTAAATTGTATATTTGTTCTATAAATAAAATTAAACTTTATAATGTCAATCGATATTGAAATATACAATACCATTGCACATAAAATTGAATGATAAATATTTACAAATGTATAACTGTCAGGTAGAAAGTAAATATCATATCAATGCAATTTAATTTTTTAATGTTAGATAACAGATATTAATCCTTGTATACAACTAATAGTTCATACTTTAGTTTACTATCAGAATGACTATATGATGCTACAAAAAGTATGACATTTTCAAAATATGACATTTAATTGCTTTGCGCATAATAATTAATTAAATATCTATACAAGAAGCTGCTAATTGTGTATTCATTTAAAACATTTTATAAAAGAAAAAAAAATACTTTAAATGATTTGATCACTCTATTATTTTTTTTACAGCTTACTATCGGCATATTTGAAAGTATTTTCACAAAATATCATTAAAAAGCTAACATTTCAACAAGTATTTTAAAGATCAACTTTAAATTTTAAGAAGCAAAAACTCTGATGCACATACCTGAATGTTGTTGGAAAATTGTAGTAGAATAGGTCCGGTACCAGCAACATAACGGTAGTAAGATTTAGTGAAACATGATGAATGAATGTTATATGGTGTTACAAATGACATGACATTTCCGAAACGTTGAACTATTTCAGGTAAAATGACCAAAGAATTATCTTCATTAGCTTCATTGCATAAATATTCACCTTCAAAAAAACATTTTCGAAATTTACAATTATTTACAAATCAAATATCATTTTGCTAGTATGTCAAATATTTAAATTTTCATGTTGAAAAAAGAAAGAAAAAAACAAATATAACACAATAAAGAAATAGCTATATTCATTTTAGATAATTATTTTGCACAAATTTTACCGATAGCTTTTGAACGCAAAACTGCCATATCATCCTTTGGCCAATTATCGATAATTTTACTGGTTGTTGGAATAGCAATACAGTTATTTGCAAGTTTAGCCAAGAGGTAATATCGAGGTCTTGAATTTGGAATGCCAATTTTGGTTGGTGAAATAATATATTCCTGGAAAAGAAAATATTGATAAAAATCTTTTATTCAGATAAACTATGCATCATCAAAGTTTTAAATTAATCAAAAAAATGCAAACCTCAAAATTGTAACATAAATTTATCAACGTATCAGTGAGTAAATGATGAGCTTCAGATGCTTCAAAGCCACAAACATTTTCAACAATAATATAACGAGGAGGTTGTTTCATAGACTTTAAAGCATTACAAATCTTTTTAAGTGCATTACAACGATGATCTGCCACATCCTTTCTCAATCCTTTCCTGAATATAATTATCATTTGTATGATTTGATTTTCAACAAATAGGTATATTATAATTTTCTAATTTTAATAAATATATATGATAAAAAAGTAAGTGTAATGCATTTCTGAAAATGGAATAAAAAATGAACAATAGAGCGCCACTTAGCAACTTTTCATACACTCTAAATATGATCAGAATTAAAAGAAATCTAAAAAAAAAAAAAAAAGAAACGATAGTGACTATGGATTTTGAGACGACTATTACTTGGAATTTGAAATAATACAATAATATGAATTAAACATAATCATTTTTATCACTTAATCAATTACTACATATGTTAAATGTGTTAATCAACTAAAAATAAACAACTAGAAGTTAAAAAGACTAAAAAGATCAGGGAAATAATTGAATTTTCCATATTCTTATATACAATTATATGAAAAATTAACAAACAAAATCAGAAATATACCTTGTAAATGGTTGACAAGGTGGTGACAATGTCCATATATCAGCATTGTAGTCGTCATAATAATCAGTCGTAAGTTTCTATAAGTTAATTAACTACAATGAAAAATACTTCTAGTATCGTATGCATTTCGATATTAGAATCATCTTTCATTTGTAACTGTATTTATTTAAAGATTGACAAAGTTCAGTATTATTTCAATCTAAAATTGCATTTTGTTACAACATTTAAAATTAAAATCAAAATGATCAATCCATAAAAAATAATACAATGCATTTCTTATTGCTGTTAATAAAAGTTAGATGAACAGTGATATTACAAGCAAAATCAAAATCTTATATGATAACTTTGAAATTTACGTGTTGATGAGTGATATAATAGATAAAAAATTGTAATTAGCATTTACTAATTGAATTTGCTAGATAAAATGTTGCATTTTTTATATAACTTACATATTTCAAATAAGAGGAGAAAAAATCAAATTTTTCAAAATTAACACTTTGGAAGAATATTTATTGTAAACTTGATCACTGTACTATCCAATATTTATTCATTCTCCCTTCATTTTTAATTTTATCAGCAAATATCTTTGTGGATAATATTAATAACTCTAGGAAAGAACCAACCTCAATATTACATTGCTGAATTTCAGTATTGGGAAAATTATACTTATAAATAGCATTTGTAACTGTATTTATATCAAGCGCACGTATGACTACATGTAATCCAATTTCTGAAAATTGTTTAGAATATAATTTACTTATAATTAATGCAATAAATCATTTGATTGATTAATTGAATGAATAAGAAGGTTCCTAGTATATATTTTCTATTTACACAACTAATCAATTAAATGATTTACTAAAATTTTTTGTACTATGATTAATTACTTCATCTTTATCTTTATGTTACAAAAATGTTAGCTTTGCCATTAGTTGTTATATTTACTTCTATAATGTTCAATTATTTACCTTTTAAAGCATAATGAAAGCCACCAATTCCAGCAAAAAATTCTAAACATTTCAACGGTTTACCACTTCTTGCACAAAAAAATGAAGCATTTTGCTGTTTGTCGATCATTTCAACAAAATTTATAAAATATCCTAAAGTTAATTAATTTCTTTTTTCTTTTGTATAGAGGCTATAAGCTGAAATTACTGTGTAATTCATAACAATATAACCATACCACATTCATAAATAAATTACTTTTGTAATATCATATGATAAACAATCACATCATATGATAAACAATCGATGAATAACTGATGAGCTTTTCAAAATTCCTTTCACTTACTTTTCTTCGTTCAAATTTCAAGAATTTTTACTTGTTCTGTGCATAATTTCTTTAATGGAAAACATTAGAGATACTGTCGTCTTATACAAGTTATCTACTATTAATTGAATTAGCCATAACAACAATCAAATTTGCATTTCAAGAATTATCGTTTATCAACAACAAAGAAACAATCACAACCACTGTTGTAAGCGAAAGTAATAAACACAAAGAAATAAATGATAAATATGATAAATGTTTAAGTGAAGAGCTTAAATCAACCAAAATTCCAAAATAAATGTATAATGCAAATAAAAATTACAACATTATATGCACCAAAGAAATTTTTTAGATCATCTTATGAAAACATAGAAATAATATTGGATAGCCACAATCATCTAAAAATCTATAACTATCTTAGTGTAATTATTCAAATGGAAAGTTCGACCCACTAATTATTGTTACTGTCTGAGAGTAATATTCAGCTGAGAGATCATTCTAGTTTCCTTTTCTGAAATTATATTAGTAGAAAAGAATGTCCAATAAGTCTTATATAATAGCAATACTTTATAAATGTATACTGAATCAAAAATAATTTATAATCCTTTCTACATATTTTCTTTTCCTTTTTGAAAGAAAAGTAACTACCTGAAAGACAGTATTGTTCACAGTTCTGATAATGACTTAGTAATAATATCCAATGTTATTTCCAGGTGTTTATCAGTAAAAATAAGTGCAGGCCTAAATCGAACTGTAGCTTTTCCACAACCACCAATAAGTAAACCTGAAAGTAATACATAGTGTGTTAAATTCTAGAGAAAATTGGAAGAGATTTTAAATTCATCAAAAGTTTGATTTCATTTTATACAAGTTTAATTTATACAGTATTTTGTCTCTTTTAGTTATAATATATAGAATAATACAAAGACGCCCTTCAGTGAGCAACTGAAGGGTTTTTTTAAAATTATTATTATATCTACTAACTGAATGATGCATATAAATCCATACATAATCCATAATGCAAGTTGGCAATCTTTCGAACGATAAAGCGGTCAGTCATGAACTAAATTTAAAAAATAAAAGAAAAAAAATGGAAAACTTCAAACAGACTTATATACCATTATTTCCAGCTATTTCTAGGAATTTATCTCGAACAACACCGTCAGGCATATCAAATGCGCAAAATGTTCCAAGACCTCGTACATTTTGTACCATAGAATTATTAGCACTCTTAAATTCAAATCATCAGTTATTAAAATAATATTCATGGAAAATAATCCAATTTGAAGTACATCTTTCCTATTCCTACGCTTCCATCTTTCGAAGTAAATTATATAACTCAAAGATCCTACTTCAAAAATACTACCGTTAAGAAAACTTATGAATATCATGAAAGCCTTTTATTCATTATATTATCAACCGCATGGTTTATAAGCTTACTGGTAACATAACCTTACTTATCATCATTATTATTAGCATATGTTCCAAATATTTAAAATATTTACTTCGATTTTTCGTAGTTCACTTTGCATTGTTGCTCCAACTTTTCGCATCTGTTCCAGTAAGTTATCTCTTTCTATAACTTTTAATGCCTTTTCAAGAAGGATCACCTTTGTTGGATCACCTAGCCATGTATTGTAAATTCTATACGGCTAAAAAGCTTTCAAATTAAATAAACATACTTAAAATCTGAGTCGACAAAGTAATTAGAGATTTTGCAGAACTACCAAACACGTGTACCATTTGAGCGAACAAAATTAAAAGACGGTTGAGAAATCTACGATTATGAAGAATTAAATTGAATAATTTTACTAACAGTTTTGTAGGTCACAAATGACATTTTGAATACCTATTCATAATAAAATAATACCAACCTCTTTCATTTGTAAATGGCTTGCATAGAAATAACCAGCAACCATCAATTTTTTCGCAAAAACAACAATATCCGGTGGACTGCTTAGATTCCATGAGTCATGTGCCCAAAAGGTTCCTGTCCCACCTCCACCAGTTTGAACCTTAAACACATCATATTACCTCGTCATTTTTCGAATTTGTCAAGATATGAGTTGTTAGTTTTCCAATGCTGTCAGTTTTTGAGGATAATCGATTGGTCGATTTAAGAAATAGCAAAATCAAACTCTGACCTTCCTTGTTAACATAACTATTTATGCCATTCCATTTTGCTATTGCATAATACTTTAAAACATATAAAAAAAGAGAAAATTATAAAATGAGACACCTCATCAACAATAAAAACAACGCCATGCTTTGCAGTTATATCGCGAAGACCTTGAAAAAAAGCTGGAGATCCATGATTGTCACCGCCTTCACCTTGAATCGGTTCAACAATCACAGCAGCTATATCGTGCTTCGTTTCTCTCCATTTTTTTATTAATTCTTCTACCTGCAGCATATAATAATTCGTATCGCTTTTATTTCATTTCTGACAAAACTCAAAAATTAGATATTAGAACATCATACGTCAGTTAGCTATGTATTCTAATTCAACCAAATATTTGATTCTTGTCTTATTGTAGAAGATTTGGAAAATAAGTGATTTGTTAATATGATATTATACACTTTCGATATGCAGTTATGACTAAAGTATTTGGCTTGATAAAACTAATTACTCATATATTAAAAAAAAAAAGTATCAATATGACATATATTGCCAGAGATCACCACTTAAACAAATATACGCTGAAGTTAAGTAAAAAAATCTACTAACATTCGCAAGACATTTTTGATCCTGTTGTTCATTATAAGGAACATTCTTTTCAAGCGGATATTTATAACGTGGAAATTCAGCAACAGGCCATTGAAAAGCTGGTAAATCAACCTTATGAATTGCTTTGGAATGAGTGATTGATAGAGCCGCTGAAAAGCAATGAGTTGTTCAACTCAGATCACAATATGATGTTAATTTATATATAACTTTGGCTTTTAGTTAAAGCCATTACATTTCTCAGAAATTATTTCGTTCTATTCTTTTTATCACTTCTCTGTTTATGCAAATTTTGATCTCTTATGACACTATTTCTAACTTTCCATTTTACTATCTCTTTTATGTAGCTTAAATTTTATTTAAAAATATCTGCGACAGAAATAATATAGAGCAAAAAAAGATTATTCAAGGCAAACCGTACGGTGAATCAAACGAATAATTAAACATACTCTGAATATACGTTAATTAGATTTTGTTGTTCTTTATGCTTCGATCTTCAAAATCTCCAAAAAAAAAAAAAAAAAAAAAGAAAACTTACTCAATGAGCGACCATGAAATGACCCATCAAATGACAAGACTGACAAATTTGGTGTTCCAGGCAATTCGTGCTTCATGCATGAATCCAGATCGTCTTTGGTTGGTGGACTACCACCACGTTTTTGCGCTTGATACCACATAAATGCCGCTTTAATTGCATTCTCGTTGGATGATGTCCCACACAATACATTTTGTACGCCAGGACATCCTTTTGGTGCTATCTAAGTATATGAAATTATTAGATAAAAAAGAAAACGGAAGAAATGCTAGAAATTTTAATTTCTTAAATACTGTTTTAAAACTTACTCAGAAGTGCCTATGGAAATTGAAAGCACATTGAACTTATACTGTTAAAAGAGACAGAACGCATGTGCCGAATAATCTTAACTTAATGGCCACTAACCTGCATTAATAATTTCAACTCTATTTTATTAGCAAATGTCATTTACGGAAATTAGTTAGGTACCAGTAACTGAAATGTTTACATATGTGTGCAGTGATTTTAGCTGATCCTAGCATTCAGCCGAATGAACATTCAAACATCTCTATGAGTTAATTAGGTTTCGTTTGCTTTATCATTTTCTAAATACGAAGCTACTTTTATTTGATCTCTTAAAGTAGTGGATATTACCGATTTTTCGGAATTATTTTAGTTGATGGGCTATTATAAAAGAAATCACTAACCGAACCTAGAGAATTTTTCATAGCATCTACAAAAAAAGTAGGTGGAAAAGATCCCAGTGCTGGTCTGCTTACTGCCGTTGTCTGAAATTCATTTTTTTGTTATGTTTCACGTAGGTAAACTCGCCAACTTCGAGGATAAAACGTAACAACTGAATCAAGTTATGATTTTTGAAATAGTTTCAAGAATTGACAAATACGATTTAAATAGAAAATGAAGAGCTTTTTTCATAATTACAACAAATGTTAATTAACATACCACAAAGCGAGGATCTGAAACAGCTTTGACCAAATCAGGATGATTATAACCTGAAAAAAACAGCGCACTTGTGATGAAGCATTCAACAAAATTCCTGACCTTGGATGATTTCGAAACTAAAAATTAGTCCAAAAAAATAATAAATAGAAAAGAAAAACCAAGTGCTAATGAAGAAATTTGCATATACACATCAAGAAGGACATTATCGTCTGCATCGACGATATAATTCCCTTTTGATTTCTCGTAATCAATGAAACATTTCACCGAAGCTGCTTGCTGGAACGGTAAAATGTTACGCAATTTTAGCAACAAATTTTAAAGATCAATTAAAAGTTATGGAGAACATCGAGAAAAAGAGACATGTAATGGGCAAATTTCTTATACAAACAGATAACAAAATATCTACATAAAAATTCAAAAAGGATTGATATTTTACAGATGAAATCAAATTCTAGGAAAATTAGTGATGACTACTAGGACGTGAAGATGAAAAAATAATTAAATTTAGCAACTAACATGTTGTAAATCCATTTCAACTTGCATTCGTTTTGACTTTGGACCTGGAAAGGTACCACAGATGTTTGGTCGTGGTGGTTCGCCTAATACTGTCGTTGTTGTTTGCATATAACGTATCCATTTAGCTAATGTAAAGCATTATTACTCCAAATATCTATAAAATATTGCAAAATCTAAGAAAAAATCTAAGCCTAACCTTAACAAGTATTACGTTATAATCAGCAATTTGAAATGTTGAGGGCAGGAAAAAGAAGGCAGAATTTAAAAACTTCCCGAATGTTTGAAAAATGACCAATTTTTTTTAACGATGACAGTAAATTTAGATCGTCCGATAAAAAAGATTCAGCAACTTGCATTTTCCCAGGTATTACTGTCTAGGAAAATGTAAGATTCATTTAAAAAATGACAGGAAAACAGGATGACAAAGGAGAAAGGGAGAAAAGGATGTGAAAATGAAGAAAGGAATGACTGAACATTATTTTTTGATAATTATTGTTTAATGTTACTAATCTTTAATTTTAATTATTGTAATTTGGAGTGTAGTCTTCTACATTAATTAAGACTTGAAGAACAAAAAAAAAAAGAAAGAAACTACCTGAAAACAAGTTGAAATTCCCACCAGCACACGAAAATATTAGAGGACAAGGAATTGTTTTCATTCTGCAAAAAAAAAAAAACAGAGAGAAAGGGAGAAGACAGGGAGAAAAAGATAAAGAGGAAAGCAGAGAGAAGGGATGAAAAAGAAAGATAAAGATTAATATAAGATAAGGAACAGAGCTTCTCTCTTTCTCTCCCTCTTTCCCATCTTCTCTCTTAATAGTCTATGATAACAATAACGACAACAACAACAACAACAACAACAACAACAACAACAACAACAATAACAATAACATTATGAGCAGTGGACCCCGTTGTTGCAGTCATTATCATCCTTATCATTCTTATCAGCTCGTCCATCCATCAATTACCAAGTTACTCAATTATTTACTTAGTCCGCTAATTTTAATTGAAATGCTTGAATGGAATGAGTTTAATTAATTTAATCATTTAAGAAAGAAGTAATTAACTAATTTGAAATAAATAAATAAGTAAATTAAACAAACAAACAACAATAATATTGAATTATATATATCAAAATATTTCAAGAAATTACAAAAGAAAGTAACTTTTTTTTTATTAAACCATATCTTTTATATATTCATTTTAAAACATAATAAATGAATATGTTATTAATAATATCACAAGAAAATGATGATAATAATGATATAGTGATAATGATAATGATAATGTAAAGATGATCACATGAAGATTATCATCATCATTGCATCATCAGAAATAAATTAAAAGTTGAATTAGTTGTCTGAGATTGAGAACTACTGAGAGTGAATATGGGAGATCTGATGATAAGGTTTCGAAATAAATTAATTATTCCCAGTACCCTATGCCTTTTTATAAACAAAACTTTGACATTTAGCACTTTTACACTCTCGGAATTGTTGTTTATGAAGCTATAAGCAAAATGATGATGATAATTTGATAAATTAGATAAATTAATTAGGTTAATTAATTAATTAGTTCACTTGAAATAAGCGTTTTTTCTTGGCAGAAAATAAAAGAGAAAGCATAAAAAGGAGAAAGAAGCAAAATTTTCGAGAATCTCACATATATATTACATATTTTTTGAATATTTGTTAAAGTAATATCAATTAATTAAATGAAATAAACTGTGATATGGAAGAGAAATTAAAAATGAACGAAAAATTTTGTATTATAATAATTAAAAATGAAATTGTGAAATAAAAAATATCATTTTTGCTTACTGATTTTATATGTTTAAAATTTACAGTATTTTTATTAATTTTTTTTTCAATATTTTTATTGACTTTGTTATTATCGATTTAATTCTTGAAAATCATTTGGATAATTATAGGAGATAAGTGAGAAGTAAGATAATAATTATTTAATTTAGTAGTAGCAAATTCCTATATCTGATTTTGTTTTCAATGATTTACTTTCGTTTTCAAAACAAATTTTTGTTCTTTTTTCATTTTCACTTTCACTTTTATTTACATTTGAAATATTTTAAAACTGATAAATTTATGATAGAAATATTAGAAAGATAAGAATCCAAACTCAAATAATATGCCAAAATAAATTTTGTTGTTGTTAGATTTTTACTTTTATTATTTTTATTTATTGGTGACTATCAATCAATTAAAGTATTTATATATTTATTGATAGTTAATTATAAAAATGGATTTAAAATCATACAAAAATATTACTTCATTATGGTAATAATATCAAAGGTTTGTTGATTAAATCTAGCAAAATATATTGTTTTACAGTTATCAGATATTTTATTAATCAGTTTCTGATGATTATTTTTGTAAATAGTTGATTTATTTTTTTGGTTTTTTTTGCTTTTTATTTTTTATTTTTAACTTTTTGTAACAAATGCAAATTATCCTAAAGTTCTATCTTGCTATTTTCATTCAAATCACTTTTTTTTTTAAGGAACAACTTTATACAGATATTTAATAAGTAATAATGATAAAGTGAATTAGTAGGATAGCATTATCTGTACAGAATGTTAAACTGGTAGTGATAAGTTATAAGTTTAAGTTAGTATTTTTTGTGCGAATATATCTTACTAGCAAGATATTAATAATTCGAAGTAATCTATTTAGCAAATATATAGCATTAACATTTTCACTTTTTTTTTTTTTATTGATAATTACTATGAAATTAAGAAACGAAAAAAGAGTTGCAAAGAAAAAAATAAAGTTTTTTTTTTTTTTTTTGTTGGAGAATGTTTTATTTGTACGAAAAATAAAATCCAAATATATTTGAACATTTAAGAATGCTGAAATGATACCAATAGTATTGGAAGAAATATGACAAACTATCAAAATTACAATAACAATTTTGATAATTATCAGTGCTATCTCGTGATAATACTACTATTGCTCTCATTTTTTTTTTGCATATTTCCAGGGATTCGTAGAAAAACCCAACAAAAAAAGAAAAGAAATTTTTACTCGATATTTTTAAAGACTAAATATCTTCTAAAGAAATGAAATTTTATTTGAAAAAAAAAAAAAAGGAAATAAAATGTTAATCATTTGAATCTTGTTGCAATAGTATATTGGAATGATCAGAATTAGAATACAACACTATCATTCTGATATCATAATAAAAATCAAGATCAGTCAATTAAACTGAAACGATTAAAAGATCAGAAATGATTTTATCCTTTACTCCTTCTGTATCATTTAAAATATACTAAAAAGTAAATGTGTAGCCGATGGCTAATGATATTTTAGATTGATAAATCTAATATGATAAATATAGCTAATATAGCTAATATGATAAATAATCTGGAAATGACAAAATTTAAAGATACTATATGTCATTCTATGCATCATATATTGAAAATATAGAAATTCAAAATTACTTCTGAAATTTGTAATTTGAATTTTAAAAATCTTAACAACATTTACATTGACAGAATAAGCGTTTATATCTACTTTTTTTAAACGTCTTCTTGATGATATAACATGAAGAAAGATATTAATGCATTTTAAATATTTCTAAAAGTTCTAGAAGTTTCATTCCATATATTACATAGTGTAGTGAAATTGTAATGCGCAATTTTTAATATAAATGTACAGGTATTAGTGACAGTGAAAAGTTTTCCAAGTAAATTCAAAGAATATTAGTTTTAAGTCGAGTATTAAGGGAAAAATCGCTATGTCTACATCCAAAAATGTTTACAATCATTGGGATATGGCTTATCAAAAGTATTTAAGAAAACGAATGCAATCAAATTTCAAGGAACATTAGTATCGGTAAAAAGGAACGTATTTGAAAATCAGTTAATGGATTAAATCTTATTTTTCCAAGATATCCGAAATAATGGCACCATCAAAATATCATACAATAGATCACAATTCAGGCATAAATATAATCAGTGCAATTAGTAATCACAATTTCGACATTAATATCTAAGTTTTAGCTCTTCCAATTCCTGCTGACGTTTGTACTTCAGTTGGTGGTGTTATAGCCAATGAGTTTAGCTGACTGAAAATACATGGAATTTAAAAAAAAAAAAAAAAAAAAGTGTAATCCTCACAGACTCATAATAGCTTCATAAACAAAATCAAAAATAATCATATATAAAAAAAAAAAATGCATACATCAGAATTATTCTTTTTTTTCATTACCTCCTTCATCATAAATCTCGAAAAAATATCAGAATTTGCGCAAACTGTTCTATTTTTAGTTGACCATTTAAAATCTATTTTTATCCATTCTTTAAGAATCATGAACGGATAGCATATTATACTCAATTTATATATCCAAAATGTACTTTTCTTTCTGCTGATCTGAAGTTTTTATGGTAGTTCCCATATTTCGTAAAGGTGTAGTTATTTGAGCAGTCCAATTTGCCTGGAATTTATTAATTATAGAAACAACAGCATGACAAGGAAACTCTTTCTTTCAAATTAAAAAAAAATTTTTTTTTTTCAGAAATATTCCACTGAAGGCAAGTTTTTTTCTTTCAGATGATAAAATTTTTTCGACTGGTCTTACAAAGTCTGAATTAGCATACCACTCCTAAAACACGAGGATAGATAGTGGGCGGAGTGTTTGCATAAGTTAAATTTGATTGTTGCTGTGGTGGAGTAATGATAGGTGATCGCCGGCATTGAATAAGATCACTGATTACTGAAATACATCTCAAATTTACAAAGCTTCAGAGATAACATGCAAAACATTTTCTTTGAGAATATTTAAAAAGCAATAAATTCGCTGCATTTATCAATCAATGATTAGTTATCCGCAATGCAAAAGTTGATCAATCGAAGAATTAATCTAACTTCCTGAGAAATAACAAATAATAAAATTAATGTACATAAGTTAGTCTTGTCGAAAATCCAACTGTACTCATTGCTGTCCAGAAACTCATTAAATTATAGGATGAAAAAGTACCCACAAAAAAAGTTTTATTGTGTTTACAAGTAAAGTACAAACTCACATGCTTCTTTTTTCTCACATTTAACTTTCCACATTTCCGCATCTTTCTTTGCCTGCTCACATTCCGTTGTCAGATTATCCATCTGCAAAAAATTATTTAAAGAATATATAAAGGTATAGGCTTCCATAAACAAAAAATATTTGATAATGTTTACGATTGACATATAACAATCAAAGAAATAACTTAAAAAACCATAAAAGTTATCTAAACTATATTTAGATAATTAAATTAATAGAACAGTCAGTTTTCAAAGCAAAACAAAAGAGAAGATGAAACCTTTGCTCTTAACTGTGCATTTGAGTCAGTTAAAGCATCAATAGCTCTTTTACGTTCCTCCAAATCCTTTTCCATATCATTCAATTTTTCATTCATCATTATACCATCACCAATAGCAGCACGACGGTTTTTTTCCTACAAAATAAACGGAAACATTTGTCTTAATATTTTTATCAGTATAAATAAAACTACATTAAGATAAATAATATTAATAGAATTAATAGGCGTCTATTTCTTTTTTACTACATTTTTACGATTTTTACTACGCATTTCTCAAAAATATTCACTGTTGTAGTAAATTTCGTTTCTCATCTAGAAAATTTATGGATAGAAAATGAAGATATTAATGATAACTAGAATCTTTTAATCAGTTTAGTCCATCTACAAGCAATAACTATTATTTCCTTCCTGAGAAAAATTCTCAATAATAATAGTCCAATATCTCTAAAAAAGGTGTGCAGTAACATTCCAATAATTATGAAAAATGGCTTCCTCTCTTACAAAGGACGAAATTATATATGATAAAAACTTACACTATAAAGTTTTTTAATAATCTTAACAGCTTTGTCATGCTCGCTTTTCCAATGATTAATCTCTTCGTTAACAAATTGTAATTTCTGGCGTAATTCTTTATTCACTCTGTCAGCATCATCTATTGCATCCTTCAGATCACGTATCTGTATTATACAGCTATGCGTTTGATCATCTCTATCATTTAGTTCCTGTTGCAACTCTTCTTTTTTTTGTTCCAAATCATGTAACTGGTTTTCCTGAACGGAAATCATTCAAAGGATGATACTATTATCAAAAACATATTTCGTTGAACCAATCAAGAAAATATTCTGAAAATCTATTTTATCTTCTTTGCATCAACAAAGAAACTCCATTCTTTACTGAAAGGTGTTTTCCATCTACTACAACTTAAATTTGAAATCTTCAGAAATTATGTCCTCTAATTCCTAGAAAATTCTATCATTTCTTGAAGAAAAGACAGTTTCCTTATTGCAATTTCCTACTAAACTTTTGATGTGTATATGATAAATATACCTAAAAAAAAACATACAGTCAGTTAACCAAATAAAGCAAACATACAGAAGCATCGAGTTCTTCAGTCAGGACATGCACTCTATCTTCCAAGTGATTAACCTGTTCAATCAGATCATCGATTCTATCACGAAAATCGACTACTTCTTCCTTTAAAGTGCTTACTTCTTGTGTAAGCATCTAAAAACCACACATCAGTTATAGTAAGAAATTTACTACAGAAACAGAAAATGGAAATAATGAAGAAAATCTTAATAATTAAAACACCAGAGGTATAAAAAAACCGATACCTGCCTATCTGCTTCGAGTTCCTCGTTCAATTCTTTAAGCTTATGTTTGCTTTCAATAATCTGAATAAAAAAGATTAACAAAAAAAAAGTATGATGTAAACCAAAAATAAAGAAAGTTTGATTGAGTGAAAATATCTTCGATCTATGATTACGATTATATATTAGTCTCATTCCAGTAGAAATAACTCTTTATCCTTTTTCTTCTTTCTCTCAATAAGTAAACGCAAGATTAACTCTGAAGAAAACATATTAAAATCGAATACACTTCATTGATAAAAAAAAAACAAATTCTTACTTCATTACGCTCTTCTTCCCATTTCTGAAGGCAATCTGAATGCATCTTTTCTTTTGAAACCAGTGAATTTCGCAAATTTTTGTTTTCCTATAAATAATATTAATATTTAGAAGCTAGTGTTCATTCCAAAGACAGTTAATGTCTGTCTAGAAACTACACCAACTAAGAAAAGATACAATATTAATATATACTGCAATAGGCTCCTATAGATATGATTCAAAAAAAAAAAAAAAAAAGGTTTTAAAACATTAACAAGAAACACCCAGTAATTCAAACAAATATGCTAATAATTTGAAATATTAACATACCGCTTGTTCCGATAATAACAAATCACGCAAAGTATCCAGCTCTTTTAAACACACCTGAAAACTGAGCAACAAAAGAAATTGACGAGTTAAATTATACGACTAGAATGTATAAAGAAACGAAAAAAATTCAACAGCATCAAATTTAAAAAACATCTAATTAAAACACGAACCAGTACTCACCTTATACTTCATGATTTTTTCAACAAGATGCGTTATTAAAGCTTTATCAGTTACTCTTCGAAGAGGTAAAGAAAGAACCGTAACCCATTTAAAGCCCATTTTTCCGACTAAATCAAACCTGCAATACTGAAAATGTAAATCAACTTTATTAAATACAGCTCTTATTATTCAGCTTATAAACAGGATCATCAAAAATCATATTTATTTAATCCAAAGTATCTCAAAAAATGTGTTGAAATATTCCTTATTATCTGCTCTTACATTTATGGTCAATGAATTATGACTTTTGAGGGCGCTGATTTGATCTTTCCTTTACCACATTAATGTTTTAATAACCTAATATATATTTTCAACGACAAATCTTTTTATTGTAAATAACTTGGTGAAACTGAAGTAAAAAGTATACTTGAATAAAGCATTATTATCGTTAAGGCTTCCCCGAAGATGAGATCCATTGCTACTATCCAGGCAAGAAACAAAGTCGATTATTTTCTTAGGAAATGCATCGAATTCAGCATCTAATTCTTGTTCTCGTTTCAGCAATTCATATTCAGATCGCCGAAGTGACAGTGTATATATAAACAAAGGATCATCATCTCGCGATATACAAAATATAAATTCCTGAAAATTCAAGTGGACAATTTTTGTGAGAACTAATCAGAACATATGATATGAAGTAGCTTAATATGTACATCTTTCTTTTCTTAAACTTGAATAACCTGAAAATAAGGTAGATCCCAACTTGTGCACATAAAACTCTAATCTAAATTCAGACCTACATAAGGGATCTAATTAAAAAGAACTATAACAATGACGACATAATCAAGAAGAATAGACATTTGATTACAAGAACTACAATCCAGAATGATCATTTAAAAAAAAAAAAAAAAAAAGAAATTCTAACCTTCTCTGCTCTATTCTGTCGTTCGTCTATTTTCAGATTCAAAATTATGCAACTGAAAAAAAACAATATCTGACAAAGTTTTGGCGAATCCTCTTTTGTAAATTATATCCACTTTCAAATCTAACAACCAAGTATAATTTATATACATAAGAGATTTAAATAATTGAGAAACGTAGCACTTATTGGGAAAGTAAATGTACTTTAATATTTTACGTTCTACTACTCAATATATTTTTGTTAGCATCATACAAGTATTATCTATTTCATTAAATAAAAAAAAAAAAAAAAAAAAAAACAAATGAAACAGAAATCAAACCTTTTACTAGTTGTCTGTCCATTTGTATCAGTGGAGTAAACAGTGATGTTATCGTGAAATAATGTTTGAACCATTCAAATTTATCTATAATTTTATTTCATAAAATACAAAATATTGAGACACAATAACCAAATTCAATCAGACGAACATATCACAACGATGACAACGTGCCGAATTAAAGCGAAATTTTAAATAAATGGCTAATAACAGTGCAAAGCATTGAAATTGACAACGAGTTCAGGATAAAAACAACTGCTCATATCTTTAAATTCATCTGGATACTTTTTAAAAAATTAAGATAATGTGAAAATTAATCAAAATTAACAAAGCACAAAATCAGCAGTTTTGAAGCAAATATTCTCCTCTGATAAATGATTAATTGATATTTTTTAAATAATAAAATTGAAAGAATAAGTATTGGAGAAGAATGGAAGTGAACACAAAGAATTTTACAAAATTCAGTCATTTTTGAATCAATAAATGGTAGGCAAATGGTATCAAATTGGAAAATCTGAAAAGAAAAAAGAAATTAATTATATGTCTATTCCAATATGTCTAAGAATAATATTTGCTAAATTTGAATAATCAGGTCCTGCAAATGGTCTACGTTTGAAAATTTCAGGTGATTTGATAACTTCAGCTAAATCGTTTGGTCTGGTGCAGAAAATATGGCCCAATTCTTGTAAGCGTTCAGCAAGTTCCCACTGATGATTATTCATTAACTCTTCATTAACCACTACCACAAGTGGTTTCTTATATCGAAGCACTTCAAGACATGTTCCAGCACCAGCATGTCCAATTACCAAGTCTGCTTCAGCAATATCTTGTAAAATGTCATCTTTGTAACGATAGTAATTGATATTTATACCACAATGATTACCTTTTTCAAGCTCTATTTTACCTTTGCCCATTTGTATGAGTAAATCGGTAATACCAATTTCTTTCAACGATTCCAAAAACTTCCGTTCAACTACCACACGTATTAATGCATCAAATTCTGTACTTCCAACTGTGACAAAACAACGCATTGCCAGATGCAGGATGTATAAGCAAATAGCTTAGGTCAGTTAATAACTTCGGAGATTTAATACTTCACTAGACCCATATAATAGTAAGCACTTGGTCGAAGCCAGCTGTCACGTTTTTCTTGTTTCAAGCGTTGACGAATAACAGCTAGACGAAATTGTAATGCTTCTTCCTCAAATGATTCTTTAATTTCTACTAGCTTTCCTGCTTCTGTTGCTTCAGAAAATACCCGATCGGTAGGATCCTTGTAAACTTCACAGCGTGCTGCTATCCGACGAACCGCCGAATCTATGTCACCCCACGTTTTTGTCAAGTCATGAGGATCGGACATCAAAAGTGCAGCAATATATGCCGGCCAATCGTCAAGAAAAACTTTCTGGAATTTCAATTTTTTATTAAATTACATAAAAGAAAACCACAAATATAAAAAAGCTCATGAATAGTGGCGTATCCACCTATGCTTTTTCCAGCTTAATATCACCAGAGGAAACAATTAATATTTAAAGAAAAAGCAATAATGTCTGATTATCGGCAACATACATCAAAAGATAAAACATGTTTAAAACTACTGTGAGCCAATTTTTTTCACCCTTGTAATAATATACATACTTTCTAGGAACGGAAAATTCAAAAATTCCAAAATAAAGTTATGTATTTTCCTCTAAACCATTTAAGGGAAATTTGTACAGCAATAAGAAATGATGGAATAACATATATTTATGCAAACATTCTCTACCTAAATAAAAAATAGCATGTTTAGTGGTAAAAGAAGAAAGATGAAGATGGCCGATTTTCATAATTTCATTACAGAAAAAAAAAAAAAACATTACAAACCAAAGCATTAATGTAATGAAATAATCAAAAAACATGGTAATGTTAAATTTGCTTTATAGAATAATGAATGAATGAATAAATAAAATCTGTAAGATACGGACATTTATTATGTTTGCTATAACATACATGATAATCACATGAATTATAACTAGTCGATAAAAAAAAAAAAAAAAAACAGATACTACTGAAATAATTGATCTATTAGGTTTAGAGTATTAAATTCGTATTAATATATTATATAAGCATATGCATAAATCATATTAGCTAAATATTTCATTATGTTCAAATGATTATATAAAAGGTAGAAAAGCAAGAGAAAACAGAGAAATAAAATAATTTCACTAAAAAATTTCAAAATTTCATCATTGAAAATCAGACAAATAAGCATCCCCACTAAAGAATTCAGTCCAACAAACAACAAACATATAAACAATAAGCAAAAAATCAAATCACAACCGATCAGTTCAGCAAACAAGAATATAAGGAATAGCGCTGCATACATTGGTATATTCTTGGAAAGAAGGGGGAAATGGAAATTTAACTTTTTTCAACTTCAACAAAAACTGAGTTACACTGATTGAAGTCACTGTCTTATTTGTTGTTTAGTAGGTTTTTATGACTTATTTTAATTTCCAACTCACAAAATTTAATTGTTTAAGTAATTGCACAACAAAGAATTGTAGCAACTTTTTAGTCTCCGAATTATTAGAATACAATAATTCAGCTTATTAGAATAATATTTCTCAAAGATTTGATATCATATTCAAATGATCGTATATCTAATATTAACACAATCACTTCTTGGCGGTAATTTCATCGGTTTAACTTTTTCTGAGCTACTAATGCATTTTCTTTGGAATGAAAATAAAAAACTGATTTTACTTTTTGATATCACTCAATAAAATTCCGTCCAAATTTCACAAATTTCGTTTGTCCCCGCAAGCAATTATTTACATTTTAATCAAGAAAAATAGATATTCAATAATCAGTAAAATGCTATACACCTTGGTCCTCTCATGGGTAATTTGCGCTTTCTTCCTTCGATATGATAGTCTTTCCTAGTCTCTTTTTCCGGAATCAAACCCATATCCTCCGTTAATGGTCACAAATATCACCCAATGTTAATAAATTCGGTTGACGGATCTGTCCACGACACAATATTCAGTGTAACCAATTAACGGATCGATTACTTTAATGTGACAGGTGCGCTCGTCCAAAAGTCATTGCTTTGGTGTTTCTATTAGCTCTGAAATTGCCATAGTTATTCTCGTAGAATAATCAATACGAAGTGTTATAGCTATTAGAATTGAGCCTTCGTTATTTCAGTTTTTATAAGTTAATTAATTGCTATGTTAGCTAACTTCTAAAAATTTTACCAAAGGACATTTTAAAATTTAAAATGGAATTTATAATATGATTGGAATTTGCATTATTAATTGTTTATTTCCTTCTTATCTCTGATCAAATAAACAGTAATTGATAGTCAAAGAATACGAGAAAATTAGGTTGGTAGAATCGATGATAGAATCAAATGCATCCAAAGTTTGTTTTAATATCTTTCTTTTAAGACAATATGCAGAAAGAAATGTGATTAGTAAGGGTCTGAAGAAGGATCCATGTTGATAAGAGCTCTTAATCTGATCTCTAACTGAACTTCAATGGGAATTCAATTGTGCAATAGATTATTAAACCAGTCGAGAAAAATTGAATGATATTTTGATATTCTTAATTAATAAGAATATACTATTCAGTATTTGATCATTTTTTAATTCTTACATTTATTCCAAGATAAATTAAAGATATATTAAGACTCACAAGAAAATCAATGAAACAATTTTCTTATTAAAATGGCAAAAAACCGTATTTGAGTTAAAAATAATTAAATTGTTAACTTCAATTGATTATACTGATTATTGACCTTCCACCATAATCTTGATAAAGAAACTCTATTTTACAGATGAAATCAACAATTGCTGATAACCAACGTGTACAAAAATATTATCATATTTTTTACATCGCATAATTATTTCTACTAGAAATAATCACAAATACTTTCCATCTTGAGTAAAATCACTAAGAAATATTTCAAATCTTAATTAACCTTTTAAAATTACATTAAAAGCATTTCTACACGAATCCTTCATCCTTAGTAATTATACAACTTTTCATTACTGCCTTAGACAAAGATATAAAATCAAAGTGTTTGAACAATTTTCAACGAATTTTTATGGAAAACTACAAATCATTTGCTTTAAAGGTAGAAAAAGTTTATTCATGAATTGTAAGGTACTCTCAATTTTGACGTGAAAACATGAAATGCTTTTATCGCGAATGGGAAAATCGTTTCATTGATTCTTTTGTGAGATTTATTATCAGTTTTTAACTTTCTTTGAAGCGAATGTAAGGACAAGAAATTATCAAATATTGAATGGTATAGTTGAAAAATTAAAATGTTATTCGAATTTTCCTCAAAAAAACCATTTTTCTGCACCATTTTTTCCTCATTGATTAATTAATTGATTTCTCATTGCAGAAATTCTTGATCAGGGATCAAATTCGGGGATTTATCGACACAGAATCCTTTTCAGATTTTGCCTCATGAAATTGCTTCATCATTTCCCTAAGCAGTTAACTCTCTTTCCGTGTATAATCATAGAACAAAGATATAAAATCAAACTTTGGATGGATCTGATTCTGTCATTGATCAACTCTACTTTGTCGCATTCTTTGTTTATCAGCTATTGTTTATTTGATCAGTGAGTTATGGAACAATAAGAATATACGATTCAAAGAATATAAACACAAAAATGCTATATGGTAGCCAACAAAGCATTTATAATATTTCTTCAATTAATTCCTTTGCTTATCTCATAGACTAACAAACATTCATGGAAATTTTTAAAATAAAACAAAACTGTGAAATGGAACTCATTAGGTTTTTAAAATGAGTGCAAGTTCTTAGTGCTTTGTTTAAACTCTTTTACTGTGTAATGATTCTTTCTACAATTCTTAATCTTATAATTAAGTAAATTTAACTTTAGCAAAGATTAAATAATTATAAATACTCTGAAATATATTACAAGTAAATGTTATGTTAATATATTTTAAAATAAAAAACAAAAGAACTGTCAAATATGAATTGAATTATTCTTACTAATTCGTTGAATAATCTTTTAAGGTTTTCTAAAGGAAACTTTGAAAAGATGATGAAAATTATCTTTATTTTAAAATTTTTAAGACATAAAATCATTTCTCTTGCACAATTGATTCTTGAAGAATTGAAAATGAAAATTGTACTCAATTCAAATGTCAGCGCATTTGTCGGTAAGCTTTTCAGAGATTAGCCAACATAGCAATTATTCGTTTATACATACCTCTCCGACTGATTCCGCCAATGATTATAGCTTGTCTCAAAAGCTAAGCTATGTATATCTAAGTTCAAATTAACTTATAAAAACTGAAATAATGAATGGCTCAATTCTAATAGCTATAACACTTTGTATTGATTATTCTACGAGAATAACTATGGCAATTTCAGAGCTAATAGAAATACCAAAGCAATGACTTTTGGACGAGCGCACCTGTCACATTAAAGTAATCGATCCGTTAATTGGTGACACTGAATATTGTGTCGTGGACAGATCCGTCAATCTAATTTATTAACATTGGGTGATATTTGTGACCATTAACGGAGTATATGGATTTGATTCCGGAAAAAGAGACTAGGAAAGACTATCACATCGAAGGAAGAAAGCGCAAATTACCCATGAGAGAGCCAAGGTGTATAGCATTTTACTGATTATTGAATATCTATTTTTCTTGATTAGAATGTAAATAATTGCTTGCGGGGACAAACGAAGTTTGTGAAATTTGGACGGAATTTTATTGAGTGATATCAAAAAGTAAAATCAGTTTTTTATTTTCATTCCAAAGAAAATGCATTAATAGCTCAGAAAAAGTTAAATCGATGAAATTAGCGCCAAGAAGTGATTGTGTTAATATTCGATATACGATCATTTGAATATGATATCAAATCATTAAGAAATATTATTCTAATAATCCAAATTATATCGATGATTGAAAAGTTGCCATACAATTTTTCATTGTGTAATCGTTTCAAAAATTCAATTTTGCTTAGAAATATAAAACTTAAAGTTAGAAATATAAA